CGGTAAGTAGGACCTATACTTTTACTAACTCACACGATACGCACGGTCGTTATCATCAAAAAAATGTATTATTTTTCTTTTTTCTTCTTAAATCATCTAATTATATAATGGATTGACATGATTGACCAGCATGTCGGCCGTTAATAACAAAAGGATGATATGGTAATTGACAGGATTACGTGTGCTTTTTTTTTTTTTTTTTTTTTTGTTGACAGGTATATAGTCCACATTAATTACATCTTAATCAATCATCCGTGGATAATAAAGTGAAATGCATCATCCCACTCAGTCTAAAGAATTTGGTCCCCATTACATATGTGGGTTGCTAATACAATCTCCACGTACCCCCATTAACAAATTTAGCTTTGGTCTCACTCATCACATTGACCTCAAATTAGAATGAAATTTGAACTATAAATTGTATTTTTGTTGATTTTCCATATTATTACTACTAGTAGTGTTTTAGTGCGCATGATTGATAAGTTCACGAGAAGGGCTGCTAATAGTCGTGGCAATGTTGGGAGTCGATTATTTTGTGTAAAATGATTCAATTAAAAGGAAAAATCAAAACTTTCCCACACCCAAAAGTAAGGTGTCTCACGAGGAGGGCTTTGCTTCAATTAGAATGAATAACTAACATAGTTGAAATGTTTCGACATAAATTAATTGATCAACAACTTTTAATTAATTATGCATGCAAAAATATAATGAACATATGCGACTAATCAAAAATTACGGATCAAGCAATTCATTTGACCAATTTCGCCTAGAAATCTTCTATTAGAATTTGTCTAACTCAACTTGTTTAAAATCTAACTTAATTCTAATATAATTATATTCAAATCAACTAAGTTAATGGGATAAAGCGCACTTCTAAAGTTGTTGAGGTGTAGTTTATATACATGTCTAGTGGCAGTGTGAACAAAGAGTTGAAAGTGTAAAGCTCACTCTCCCTCTCTGTCTCTCAAAACTTCAATAAATTGTATTTTTTTTTTTTTTTTTGGGCGAATTGCGAAATACCCTTCCAACTTCTAAATGATTGATTAATTAATATTTACATTTTGCCATAATTGATTGTTGAATATAAAAGCATTCTCTAATCAATCATCTTTTTGGCCACAATATTAGTACCATTTGTTTCAAATTAAAAAAGAAAATTTCAACATGAACTCTAGGCTAAATAAATTTTCGATTTTCTTTTTCCATTTTTATAAAATAAAAATAAAAATAAAAAAATCTTGATAATGAATAGACAAGGGGCATTTTAATCTTTTGAAAAAAGCTGAGCACCCTTTTTGTATGTTAATATTCTCCCACAACAATCTTACTTGACAATTGGATATACCTTACCCTATAAAGTAGTAGTAAATAACAATTAGGCATAAAAAGTGTATGTGTGTGTGTGTGAAAAGATAATCTTAAGGTGGGCTTCAATTATTTTTTAATGAAGACCATCCAATGTCCAGTCGACAAGCACACAAGGTTGGTTGCAAAGGGTTGGGTATTGTCACAAAAAAACGGGAGACTAAAGTGGACCACATTGTCCCCAACAATCCCTTCATTTTAGTTATTGGTTGTCATTCCAAGTATTAGGTTGGGCGGGTAGAATTTTTTTTTTTTTTTTTTTTAATTAAAAAAAGGTAGATTAGTTGAAAGAAAATACTAATATTTATGTGGGATTAAATAAATTCAAAAAATTAGTCAAATGAATAATTTGATTATTGATATCACTTAAAAATAATAAATTCTATATAAGTTAGGTAATAAGAGAAATGTCAGAGAAAAAGTAGTTGAAATAATATAATATAATACGCAGAACTGATCAATTATCTCATAATTTGTGACAAGTGTGGGAGTGTTAAAGAAAAAAAAAAAAAATCAAAGCTATATAATCTTAATAGTTAAATATATACAGTTTTTTTTGTTTTTTGTTTTTTTTTTTCTTCAGACAGATTAGGAGAGTAAAAGATTCAAACATTACACGTACACTTACTTAAAAAACATAGACACTATCAATTAAATAACTCGAATAATATAATCATATTCGATGTCGATCGATAACTTGAGTGGCCCATGACAATTCAAAAAGCACTACCTATATTGCCTATTGTATTCCTACCTCAATGGGCACTTTCTTATACTATAATGCAATATGAAATAATTTAACCAGTCACAACTCAATGTTGACAAATAACTACCATATAATCTCATGATTATTTCGGAAATCTTTTGACCTCATCGAATATAGTATTATATACATATATATATATATATGTATATATATATATAGAGAGAGAGAGAGAGAGATGTGTGTGGAATGTAATGTCTTCCTCGTTGAGAAAAGCTCCCCCTTAATTAATTAATCCTTAAATTATAGGAATAATCTAAAAGAAGTGAATATAGTTTGAGCCAATAAGGACTTCTATTGGCTGCATTTTAAAAATAACAAAGAAAAGTTGGTCCCCATTCCCCAATGCATATGGGTGGATATGGCGACTACACGTCTACCACACACCAAAATGGAGTAAGTTCTAGAATAGTGTGGATTTTCTTGTGCCGTGTGTTGTTGTGCACGGTGCATCAACATAACTTAATTTTTGTTGCATCAGCGCAAAAATATCGAGTGAGTCGGTTGTGCTGTGAAGCAACGATATGGACACAAAATACCAATATGATAAAATATGAATACGATAATATGGTAAATTTTAAAAAATAAAACATGAATATGGTGAAAATATGCTTATAAAATTATATATATATATATATATATATATATATATATATATATATAATTATATATTTAAAATATAATTATTAAAACTTTACACATTCATTTTTCTAATAACAAACAGATATATATAAATATAAAATTACAAATAAAACAACAACAAATAACATGACCAATTTCAATAATTTTATCTTTATTATAAGAAAAACATAGATAAGACCAAACAAAAAATAAATAAAAAATAAAGTTGATTTAAATTTCAAATGAAAATGTGAAAAAAAAAAACCAAAAAAAAATGTTTTTTTTCATGTACAGAGATAATTGAAAAAGAGGAGAGACTGAGAGAGAAAGTGAGAGAAAATAAATTTACTGTGTAATACTCTGTTGTTTTTTTATTATTATTATTTTATTATTTTTTATTTTTTACTTTTAAACTTCTAAAAAATTACATTAGGTACCCTATTTATCTTTTTAAAAAAATTACAAAATATACCCCGCCGTGTCCAATAAAAAATAATTTCAGGACACTTCACAGAAGTGTCGGACACGCGTGTCCGTGTTCGAAAAGTGTCCGACACTGGTACGAAATCCCTGAAAGGAGTGTCCATACTTCATAGCGGGTATGTCATGTCAATGAATGTGCTTAATTTTAGTTGATTAAGAATAATAAATTTTGTGCATAACTCAGTTTAATTGAAATTTAAATGTTTATTGGCGGGGCATAGCATGAATTTTTTTTGAACTGTTGGATTCGACTAGTTTATATCGATATTTTTCTAAATTTGTTACACTGCGATCGCGAACCATGCATGCACGGATCTAGCGCCTACACTGAATTTTTTATATTTTCATTTTATATTTCAAATTTTTCAGAATTTATTAAGATACTACCCCACTAAAATTATAATTTGCCTCCACTGAATTATTTTTTTTTACATTTTATACTGTAAATTTTTACAAATTTTTGAAGATGACCCCACTAATATTACAATTCGCCCTCACTGAATTTTTTTTTTCATAAATTTTTAAAAATTTATGAAGAAAACTCTATCGAAATTACAAAAATAGACCCCACAAAGTAAAAGACCAAACACCCCCCCTCCCCAAAAAAAAAAAAAAAAATTTCAAGCTTAGAAGTGTTTCCTCTATCTAATGTTACTTGTCCTCAAACAATATCCTATTTGAAAAGTCAGACCAAAATAATATCTGTTTTCAAGTTTTCATCACTACCTTTTAAATTTTAAAATCTTTTAATTTTTGTAATTTACATACGGAGTATTTAAACTTAAAAAGGACGAATTAACAATTTTAAAAGAGGTCAAGAGTGTGAACAAAAGGAGAGAAGATTTCCTTACATAACAACTTAATTTTGTGACAAGAAAATTAAATGTATTTGTTCTACATTTGTACATTCGTCTTTTTAACACATTTGTTCGAGTTATTTTATTAAAAGGTAGAACAAATGTATTGAAATACAAATTTAATTGTGTTGAAAATTTTTAAGGCACACTATAACTAAATTTTTTAATTGATCAAAATTTTCATCCAAATTCGGTCTAAATAGATATGATAATTCAGATATGAATTAAATATTTAATCTAATAATTTATTAACAATTTAAATGTAATAATCAATTAAATTAACAAGTCAGATACACTCACTATAACTATATTTTTTAATTGATCAAATTGTTTATTTATTTATTTTTTTTGGTTGCAAAAATCGGACTTACAGGGTGTTTATTGTAAAAATAGAAGTTCAGATTTACTCTGCCAAGTTATCAAATTTGGAATACATCAAATCATATCCGAATTTGATCTATTAACAAGTCTAATTATAATATATATATATATATATATATATATATATATATATATATATCAAATAAAAACAAAAAAGAAAAATAAGAAAAGAAAAGAAAAAGTAGAACTCTAATCCCGAGATTGGAGTGAAAACCAGGTGGTTTAGGCCAGTTTTGAAAAATATCTGTTGGGTGTGACCAACCTAAAGACTTGGGTGAAGTTTGGAGCGACCTTTTGCTATGGAAAAATGTGTTGTAATGTGTTCCTTCAATCACTATACATCTTTATCAACACATCTATTCTCCTAATAATGCCATTTATGACAAAATCATACGTTACCTAAAATACTTGCACACTAAAAATGTGACTCTTTCTATTTTCCAAATTCAACCCTTTTTTATTCCAGCCATTGTTGAAATATGAGCAGTGTGGGTAGTGTGTGCTATTCGCGCTCTTGATTGTGTACCGTATTTAAGTAGTGTAACTATGGCGCACACGCAAAAACTATAGAATTAAAAACAGAAATGTACACGCAAACTGATTCATCATTCATTTCCCTTTTCCTTTTCCTTTTCCTTTTCCTTTCCATTATTTTTCTTTCACAATCATTTCCTTCCATCGACATACATGGAATCACCCCAATCATGAACCACTCGATGCTTTAATCCTCCGTTTGATCTCCTTTTCCAACTCTTCATGCCCTCCCACTTCTTCCACTTCCTGCACCACAACACACTAGAATCAATCCCATGAAGTTACTTAGTATTAAAATTTTAAAATGAGTAACGATATTTGGAAAATTACTCAAACCTATTTGTCTAGTCGAAGGGTTTTTATTTATTTTTTTATTTTTATTTTTTATATCAAATTCCGTCAAACAATCCCGTAATGTGAATTGTCATCCACAAAATGGACAGAAACTACCATTATGCTTGACAAATAGTTTTGAAAATTCCGTCAATCAATCCCCTGGTGTGAGTCTCATCCACAAATGGAAAGAAACTATTATGTCTGACAAATAGGTTTTAAATGACATAAATTATTATACTTGATAAATAGATTTAAATGATAAAAATTATTATGCGTGACAAATAGGTTTGAAAATTCGTCAAATAATAACCTAATGCGAGTCTCATCCACAAATGGACATAAACCATTATGTCTAACATTTAAATGACGAACTATTAGGCTTGACAAATAGATTTGAAAATTCGGTCAAACAATCCGTAATGTGAGAGTCTCGTCCACAAATATAAACCGTTGTGCATGACAAATAGGTTTAAATGACCGAAACCATTATGCCTGACAAATAGGTTTAAAAATTATTATGCCTGACAAATAGGTTTGAAAATTCCGGCAAATAATCACCCAATGGGAGTCTCATCCACAAATGGACATATACCATTATGTCTAAAAATTATGTTTAAATGACAATTATTAGGCTTGACAAATAGATTTGAAAATTCGGTCAAACAATCCGTAATGCGAGAGTCTCGTCCACAAATATAAACAACCATTGTGCATGACAAATAGGTTTAAATGACTGAAACCATTATGCCCGAGAAATAGACACAAAAATAATAGAAGGATTAGAGGATCACCTTTGGTCCCAAAAACAACCCATATGGCACTCCATTGAACTTGTCCGAATGGTGTAGCTAAAATCCCAGTCAACAAAATCAAATAAGATCAACACCGTCAGATTCCATCACAAAAATATACTGTATATATGTATAATCATGGGTTATTATCATGTGTAAGACTGGTGTATAACTACCTGGTGGGCCGCTGCAACTTTTCTGAAATAGGGTACGTTGGCGATGGGCCCCACCGGGAATCTCTTGTGAACGAGACCGTCGTGAACGAACATGTAGGCCATCCCAAAGACCGTAATACCCAGACCCTGCACGAAATTCACGAGTTCATTTAAAAAATATCAGGGACAATTTCGTCATAATGACAAATACAGGTAATCAGTAGTTAAAAAACCGTTATTAAGAAAACAATTAACTATTTAACTCAGATTTATATATACATATACATACACACTTATATAGAGAGAAGAGAAAGTGGAAGAGATAAGAGAGAAAGAGAGAGAGACTTACAGCACCGAAACAGAGACCAGGAATGAGGCCTTTGTGGAAGAAACCATAGGAGAGGAGGCTTATGGCTGGAACCGCGTTTGTAATGGCAAATACGTCATTAAGCTCAAAAGGACCTTCTCTGGGTTTATGGTGTGACTGCAATTACCAACAAAGTTCATCAAAAACCCTCGTTTGGTTGCTGAGAAAATTGACTAAAATAGAAGTTAAATCTTGTATAGTGGATTCCCTTATATCTATCTCCTTATCTAAAATTTCCTAGTTCAACTTTCCTTTCAACCAAACAGAGATAAGAGAACAAAAACCTCGTGCATGTGCCACAAAGAAGCGTGCCAAAGCGCCCTATGAGCCCATCTTGCCCAAAATTCCATCCCCACCTGAAATTAAATAATAAAAAAAAACCAATTTGATTTATTTATCAATCCAATTTAATTACCCATAAATAAATTTTCAAAAATTATGTGTGTATATATGTGAATATATATATATATATATAGTTTAAGTAAAGAAAGGAATTGTAGGGGAGTGGAACTTACAGCAGCACCGACAGAGAGAGCAAATGTACCAAACATCTCTGAGTAGGGAATCTCTCCACCCTAAATCCAAACAACCCAATTTCAGAAAAGGGGAACCAAAGCTATCTAGAGAGAAACTAGAGAGAGAGAGATGATAGTACCTCCATTTGCCAAGAGAAGCGATAATAAACAGACAAGATGGCCATGGACGTAATTCCTAAACTAGACATGACTGCCGCAACGAGGTAAGTGAACCGCTCTGATCTCTTCCTGGCCTGCCTCTCAGCCACGCGTGCGGCCGAGATCTGTTTCTCAATCTCTTCCGAACTCTCCTCCTCTGCTTCTGTCTCAATCCGGGTGTTCAATTTCTCGTTCTCCACCACGAAGCAGACCGTCAAGGTCGGCTTTCTTCGGGACCGAAGAATAGTATCGAATCGACGAATGGAGATTGAGAAGAGTGAAGTGGGGGTGAGGGTGGAGGTGGGCTTGGGGCCAAGAAATGGGTTTCGGCAGAAATGGAACGACCTCGAGCTCGAGGCCATGGAAATTCCGGCCGCCATGGACGGTGGAGTTGAGCAACAGAGTCTGATTAGCTGAGAGAGAGAGAGTTGGGAAGAGAGTGGGGTTGTTGTGGTTTGTGATCAGAAGCGAAGAGCGTTAAATGGACGTAGACCACATGTTCGGTTTGTTGGACTCATTCGTATTAAATAGTTCAAAACTAGGTTGAATGCATTGTAACAAAATGTGAACTCAATAAAAAAAGGTGTTGATTCAATACAATTTCACAGAATTGCCATTTTTCTCAATTATTGACACACAATGTCACAGACTATTAACTTTGTTGAGCACTTAGTTTAAACACTCAGTATTTTATAATTCTTATTAGGGGAAAGTGAGAAAAAGACATTTAATATTTTAATTTTGGGCAAATAATATTTTTATGGTTTATTTTGGGTATATAAAATTTCATTAAGTTTGAAAAAATGAGCAAATTAGGATTTATGTTATATATTTATGTTCGTTAAGTTTGAAAAATGGATAAAAAAAGAGAGCTTGGAGTCACTGTTAAGATATAAAATTATAAAAATACTCTTTTCTCTTCTTATAATACTCTTATAAGTGCAAAGTGAAAAAAACATTCATAATATTTACATTTTGGGCAAATAACACTAATTTCTTTTTTATTTTAAGTATATAAGTCCGTTAAGTTTGAAAAAATGTGGCAAATAATAGCTTGATGTCATTCTTTCATTAAACATTTATTCACGTGCATTGCACATGACATTTTTATTATATAAAATTTTAAAAACACTCTTGTCTCTTCCGATGTCTATATATATATATATATATATTATACACACACTTGTCATATTTAATTAGTTTTTTTACTTATTTTTTATTCACTTGTAGGAGAAAATTTTAGTTTTTTCAGTATTCAGACCATTGTTTGCACTAAAATTAAATGGTAATGAGGTTGAGAAAGTATATGGGATTACATACTCTATATGCATACCATAAGGGTATTTTTTGCCGCAACCCTATATTATATATATAAAAAGAATGACAGTGTAGTTATTTCACATTTAATTAGTTTTTTTTACCTTTTTCTTTTTAATTAAGTTATAAAATTACACTTTAATCTTTTCAGTATTTAGGTCTTTATCTGATCCAAAATTGAATACTATGGATTTTTTAGAACGTATAGGAGATTATATACTCTATATGCATACCATAAGAGTATTTTCGCTCGCGACATTTCTATTTAATTAAATGCGTTGTTGGATAATTTAACTCTTGGTTAAGTGGCATATTTAATTATGCGCATTTAATAACAAAAATTTAAAAATGTGAATACGTTTAAATGAATAAGTATCTCTTATAAATGAATATAGTTTCAAGTGAGCTAGAAATCACGTCTTACAATGTTTAGTACTTAATTTTTAATTCTATCAAACACTCTCTCTGTCTTAAAAAGAGTGTCTTTTTTGGAAATTAATTTTTTTTTTTGAGACCGAGCAAGTAATACTTAAGTGATTATTATTTGATCAACTTAATTTTATAACAATTTTTAATAACTTCGAGGAATAAGTATCACTTAAAATCAAAAAATAAAATATAAAATTAAGTTAAGTGATAAAAACTTTACTTGTCATTAAACATTAAACAGTTTAAACAACTAGGAAAGTTTGGTATTTTCAAGACTTAATTATCAATTTTATGAATGAACACCTCAGTGTTTGACTCAATATAACCACAGCTCACATGAATTCTTTGAATTACAATCAAGCTTTATCTTTAATGAAATAATAAAAAATATTTATATAATTTATCTGTCAAATGAAAGATAGTCTTCAGTAAAATGGTTATTAAATGTCACGCGACTGCTTGTGTTATTGCCCAAGTGGTTGACCTACTTTTCATCTTTTTTGAATTCGTGTCTAAGACTTATACCCTCCTCCTCCATCTCTAACATAACAACTAATAGTATTACTACCATAAATAAAAAATAAAATAAAAAATCACACGACTCAACATATCAGATCTTCTCTTATACACTGCCACATCTATGTTCTTGGTCTGGTCTAGAGTCTAGTCATAAAATAAAAAAAACCAATTTGATCCCATCAGTTTTGTAAAAATTGAAACAAATTCATATCTAAAACCCTTAGTTGGGGTTGGATTAGATTGGGTTTGACGTGAGATGAGATTCTTGTTTGTAGTGGGGCTTAGACTCTTTGAGTGGGTTTGATTCTAAGATCAATATACAGAGTAATACAGGACAGGTTGTGTGCGAATTGACTTAAAAATTTAAGTTATTAGGTAGTGCTAACACACAATTCATATATATTCAATTACTTTGTTATCCGAATCCAATATGGAATGACCCTCCAATAAGTATCCAACAAACCGGAGTTCAAAAATTCAATTTCTTCAACATCCTTGCCTACACGGAAGAGGGTTCATTCTATTTCAAAAATAATTTTTAGGGCATGTTTGATTTGTAACTCTGAGAACAGTTTTTTATTTTCAAGCTGAAAACTGAAAACTGTACAAAAAATTTTGTTTGATTCAATTTTTGGAAAATTCAATTATAAAAAGACTTGTTTTCAGAGATTTATTTTTTAAAAATTATTTTTTAATTTTTAAAAAGTGTTTTTAAAATTACAAATAAAGCATGTGCTCTTTCATTCAAATAAGCAAAACACAAACACTTTTGACTTGAGAAATCCTTATACCAACCCAACGACTGCCCATTTGATTATTTTTCAATAAACTGATTGGACTAGTATATAAATTTCAGTTGCATTTACCAGTACTAGAATGGGTACATTAGTTTTGTATATGATGGGACATGAGTTTTGTTTGCTTTTGGGATCTATCCATCGAACCAACCCCACACACAAAGGTAGTGATATTGTCATCGTCTACTTCTCGGTTCTTCCAAATGTAATCGGAAGACACGTTGGAATTTGGTGGTGGTATTTTCGTAAATATAGGAGACAAGCAAGGTAAAGTAGTAGACCAGTGGGAGTGTCTGTTGGCACACATGTCAGAAACACATCAGAAAATGTGAGGCGGATGGGCGGTCGCAGGATTGCGGAGGACGCGACAGCGAATCACAAATTGACAATCAGGATTTCATGGTTTTCCATTACATGTGTTAGCACGTGACACGTCTCGTGCTGCATCATCTCTCACTACTCTCCGCCTTTTTAAGTGTGTCCGACGCGTATTGGACCGTCCTGACACGTTTGTTTGCCACGTGGTTGAATTGGTTCTTGCCACTTGGACATCACCAAGAGGTGGCAATTATTTAACTCCTTTTTAGGGATGACAAATTCTCCATCCCCGTCTAGGCACCGTCCCGTTTATAGCGGGGATAAGGATCCTTTTAACTAAACGAGGATGAGAATGGAGGCAAATTTTGAATCCCAGCCGGGGTCGGGATGGGGTAAACCCGCCCCGCCCCGATTAAGTGTGAAGTTATTAATATACCCTTACATATAATAATTTATTATTAAATTCCCCGGCTGGGGTAAACCCGTCCCGCCCCGATTAAGTGTGAAGTTATTAATATACCCTTACATATAATAATTTATTACTAAATTAAATTTATTATATATATGAAAATAAGAAGAAAAAAAAATGTGTTTGTCCCCTTGTCTTTTTATTTTTTAGAAGTTAAAGCAATTTCTCATACACCCTATCTCCACCGAAGTTCGAACTCCCGACCTCCCGGAAAGAAAGGGATGATACCGCTGGGCTAATTGGTCCTTTGGTCCTTTCAAGTTTATATATATATATATATCCCTTATAAAAAGTGGATTCTATTTCTATTATTTATATACATTTAATCAATTATTTAATTTCAAAAAATAAACATGACTTTTCAAATAGTCACTTCTTAATTATATAAACACTTCTTCATTAAAACATTTTCAAGCTAATTATTTTTTTAAATAGTAAATAATTGTTACCATATTAACTACAAACACCCCTCTTCTAAATGACACATTCTAACTACAAACACCTTTACTATTTTAATATATATGCGTAGCATGTATGCCATTTATATACACTTTAAAACAATTATTTAAATTTTAAACAAACAAAATTATATGACTTTTCAAAAAACAAAAAAACTGTACTACTCAAAAGTTTTAACCCTCTTAACTACCAACACCCTTTCCAAAAAGTCACCTTCTTAACTGCAAACACATCTCATTAATGGTAAGTCACCTTCTTAATATGATCAGTTATCCAATATATCATCAATACAACAGCTGCGAGACAACAACATTTGTAGGAAAACCAACATTAACACGAATATCAAGAGAGTAGTCATTGGAAAAAATGTCATCGATCATCATCAATTTGTATCTGGAGATAAATTTCATGCTCCAATATATATTATTCTTTGTTCACTCAATAGCAATTTATTCTGGCCAGTGCTTGGGGTTAACAATGGTGGTTGTGGTGCTAGGCTTCCCACTGATCGATTACCCTTTCTTAGTATCAATTGTTCTTGGATTTTTTTTATATATAATTATTATGAAAAAATAACATAAATTATTGCAGTTGCACAATTGCATTGCAGATGAAAGTGAGGCATGCAATCATCTATTCTGGAGCAGATTTCTGCTACAAAAAAACGTACATACATTCTTTTGCATGTTCCAGTGAATAATTGAGTAAGATTTTACACCAGTCATCTTATTTGTCATTTGATATTCCACAACGGGTTTCATTTTTTCCTATTGTCATTCTAAAGGAATTTCTATATGTAGTATATTATATGTGCAGTTTTCCGTGAGAGCATGATACTAAAATGTATGATGCTTTAATGCATGTTATTTGTTTTGTGGCATATCTTATTGCTTCACTGCATCTAGAGATTCTACACACAACAAGAGCATGGGATATCTAACTTTTTGTTATCTATATTTATTTTCTTGAATTGAAAAACTGTAGAAAGTTAGAAACGTCTTTTATTTTTATTTTCTAATTTCTAAGAAAAACTTTAGATCACACTAAAAACATTAAAATTTATTTTACAAGTTTGACAATGCTACCAATAACAATGGGGTTTTTCTTTTCTATATTATTTTTGTACATTTTAAAATAGTTATTTAAATTTCTTTTCTTCGTTTTTATATTATTTATATACATTTTAAAATAGTT